GAGAGCGGCTCGAGTCCAAGGCTGGAAAACTTGCCTTAAAAAAGCCTCAGACATGAGCAAGCTATTCTTAGTTCATCTGTTCTATTTCTGCACTGCGAGCTCTTAAAGGGGAACGGGCCGGTGCTCTCCAGTATGTTCTCTAGTGTTTTTGTCTTGTTTTCTAGTGTAAATATCTAAAAATTCTTGAATCAAGATGAATTTACTGTACAAGTAAAATGACTTAAGATATTATGTCTTGTTTTATGTAAAATGAACATCCTACTAAAACGTTTCGGGAAAAAACATTCCATAAATGAACGATGTATAAATAATGCTTTAGTGCTAAAGTTTTAAGAACATTATTACAGACCAGATAACTTTGAACGAACGTTCTATTAATGTTACTGGAAGAATGTTTGTTCATATCATAACTTTGAGAACACCTTGCCAGAACGTTGCTTGTTAGCCGAGTATAGAAACTATGTTTTAAGTTTTCTGCAAAATACGCATAACAATAATTAAGACATTCAAGTTTATGATTACATCATTCGCAGTGCTTCATGAAAATGTTCTTTTGCCGTGATATTCTGGTGGATATTTTATAGGTAATGAACCAGGAATTCAAGTACTGAACACAATTATTTAAAAATTAGTTGAAAATGCTTTATCAAATGGCTTCAACAGAAGCAAATAACACTGATTTACAACCTCGCAGCTCACAGTAGGTCCGTCTTTATAAGACAAGCTATCATTAAAAATCAATTCCACTATGGAATTGATTCCACATTCAAATAATTAGACATGTTAAAACACAGAATTTAGTAACAATAAAACATACACTGCAAAAAAATGATTTTCTTACTTATTTTTTGTCTTGTTTTCTAGTATAAATATCTAAACATTCTTGAATCAAGATGCATTTACTTGACAAATAATTATCAAAATTGTGTTAGTTTTTCCTTAAAGCAAGCAAAAATATCTGCCAGTGGGGTAAGAAAAATAATCTTGTTTAGCTTTGAATTTTCTTCTTTCAAAAGCTAAGAACTTTCTTCTACTGCATCTTATTCTTCATGTAATCCAGAACAGCAGCACAGCAACAAACACACTGGTTAATAAAATCGGATTAAATACATAAATTATATTTGTAAGACATTTTCTTGTAAATTGAAAAGTAACGTGTTACTAACACTACTTGAAAAAATAATCTGATTACATAACTCGAGTTACTTGTAATGCGTTACCCTCAACACTGATTACAGCTGTGGTGTTGACTTCGCTATTCTCTTAAAGCTAGAGTGATTATTTAAGCTTTATCATTATGGTTGTGTTGTGTGACGTTCTGTCTCCTCTGATATTCGCAGCGGAGCCTCTGGTCAGACAGGTGAAGAAGACTCGGATAAGCAGAGATGACTTTGACATCTTGAAGGTGATCGGCCGAGGAACCTTCAGCGAGGTGAGAGGGTTTGTGCTGGTTCTGTTATGAAGCGAATGAGTATAAATATATTGACTGAGGTGTAAATGCACAGGTGGCTCTGGCCCGCATGCGTAACACACAGCAGGTTTACGCGCTGAAGATCATGAACAAGTGGAACATACTGAAGCGTGGAGAGGTAAACAACAAAAACTAGCGTGCATCTTCTCTAAAAGCACTTAGATTCCCAGCTAACAAAAATATGTTCTAAGAACGCTTTGCTAACGTCGCGTAAACATTATTTGGATGTTCTCTGAACACGTCAATGTCCAGTTTTTAAAAAAAGTGCAAACTTTTAAGCAACATTCCATTATTTATTATGAGAATATTACATTTGAATGTAACGTTCTGAAACAAGTAGTAACATAAAAAACGTTAGATGAAAGTCCAACCAAAATGTTTCAGAAATAAAATGTTCCATGAACAATGTATAAATAACGTTTTTGTGCTAACGTTTCGAGAACATTATTAAAGACCAGGGGCCGGATTCACGAACATCTTCTTAAGAAATAAGTTAAAAAATTTCATCGTCATCGCTGTCACTTCAGAGAACTTGTGCACATCACTATTAATAGTACTACTAGTGTTGTTGTAATGCTTAAATTTAACAATTAATTTGAAATAACCCAATGAATTCTTTCAATAATTCTTACTATTTGGGATTTAAGACAAGTCTGGGGCTATCCTAACTTTGAGAAGTTATTTACGATGATTTTTATTGAAGTTTGGTCTCAAGAACAATCTTAAGAAACAAATAGACAAAAATTCTTAAGAATTTTTGGGAATACAAAATATTCTTAACTTTTTTCTTAAGTTAGAAAAATAAATGTCTTCTTAAGAATGTTTCGTGAGTCCGGCCCCAGATAATTTTGAAAGAATGTTCTGTTAGTGTTACTGGAAGAATGTTTGAGAGAACATTAGCCAACGTTCTGAGAACGTTCCCTGTTAGCTGGGTTTAATTATAATGGAGTGTTAATGGAGAGCTGTGTGCGTTCAGACAGCGTGTTATCAGGAGGAGCAGGAGGTTCTGCTGAAAGGAGACCGGCGCTGGATCACTGAACTACATTACGCTTTCCAGGACGACAATTACCTCGTACGTGTCACTTCACACAGCCGACTCTTCACTGATTCACTGATTCACTGATTCACTGATTCAAGACTAAACACAGCCTGACCTGTTAAAACACAAACGTTTCCACTTTAATTTGAATCAGAATGTTCTGAACACAAATGGACCAGTTCAGTTGATTTATGGTTTATTTGTCTAAAAGTATGACATTATATCACTCATGCCCCTAAAACCACAGGACCTCAGATCATAATTCACTACTCTATATTATTTAATTTTTAATAACATCTTTGAGTAAGAAAAATGAAAGAGTATAGTTAATTGTCACTTGACCTGTTTAGCCAGGCTTTCATTAAAAAAACACACAAAACAAAACACGCTACAAATTAATAAAATAACATATATTATACATGCATTTAGTATGTAATGGTGTTTGGTGATAACATTTTACATGCATTTTTGTTTCGTAAAAGATGACATTTGACATGTTTGAACTTAGTTGTTGCACAATTATCCATGTACTGCATAAATTTTATACATGTATCTTACTAACCACAAACAAATGCCTTTCAATTTGAGTCTGTGGAATTGAGGAAATGAATCAAATAGAATCGACTCAGAAGAGACGTGAATGAATGCACGCGTGTCACCTGATCCACAAATGCACATTTTAATCGCTACATGCACAAATCATGATACTTTAATACAAACTGTAACATTTGTATTCACAAATATGTCTCTATTTGAACAAAATGCTGCACATTAATGTAATTCTTAACTCTGCAGACACCGGTTGAAAAAGATTTGTTTCAGTGTAGTGACGCACATTTGCGATTTTTTCAAATCGTGTACACATTAATGAATTGCACTGGGCCTTGTTCGTTGGTAGTTGTGTGTGTGGGGGACGTGAAATGCTGTAAACTGTTTGAGTCGATCTGTAAACAAGATCGACTCGAACGAGACGTCAATTAATGCACGCGTGTCACCTGATCCACATATGCACGGATTCCTTTTTGCATGAGCAATTTATGATATATGAATGCAGAACAAAACTAATATCATCCCATACAAATCTACGAACATTCAGGTGAGGTAACCGGTTTACTGTTAACTACTGAAACATAACGAGCTGCAGCTCAAAATACATGGAAACATTGTGCATTATGATCTGATCGTATTAATCTATAAAGTGATGAACAATGTAAAAGAGCAAATGGGAGAATCACATGCAGACAAAACAAAGTAGTTGAAAAGATTAATCCAAAATTATTAATTTACGCATGAATCAGTTCTGTACCCAAGGTAACAAATTAAGGTCATAAAAACCTTGCAGGAACAATATTTAACATGTTTCTGAAACGTTGAAATGTCAAGTTTTGTTGTTGTGATTACGTTATGTAAAGTTTATTTTAACGTTTACAGCGTTCTACTATCTTTATTTTTTTACCCAAAATATAATATAACATTTATTGTTAGTATTTCAAGAACGTGAAATATTTCTTAGGTCAACATGAATGTTCCAAGTATTGATCTCAAAACAGTTTCTCTCAACTTTATGAAAAATAGCCTATTATCAGAACGTTCTGTCAACATAAGAACGTTTTGTTTTAACATTTATGCAACTTTCAAAAAAACGTTAGTGAAAGTTCTGAGAACGTTTCCTGTTAGCTGAGTGATAAACAATGTAAAAAGAGCAAATGAGAAAAACAGCCCTGTTGAAAAAAACAATAGACACCATTACAACATTTCTAATGGTTTTACTGGTTCTAATGGGACTTGTATTGGTTTTACTGGAAACTGTAATGGACCCTGTTGGTCTCTACTGGTAATTGGTCTCTTTCTATTGGTGGCTTGTTAAAACCAATAAATCCTAATGGAACATGTCCCAAAACACACTACAGAAAACCATTTTTTAATGGTTTTAATGGTTAAAAGTTGATGGTTTGTAATATTTGAAATGGTATGTGTAGTCGAAACCATTAGCATTTTCTGTGATGGTTTCTTTTGTTTTTTCCAGCACACAAAACAGGTGAAATGTGTTGAAAAGATTAATTCAAAGTGATTCCTTGACACATGATTCAGTTCTGTCCCAGTGCTCATGAATCATGATCTTCTGTTTGTCATTTGTACAGTTCTGTCTGTTCATCTGATTTATGAGTGTCTCCAGTCGTAAGCGTCTCTCCTCTTCTGCTCTGCAGTATCTGGTCATGGATTACTATGTCGGTGGAGATCTGCTGACGCTGCTGAGTAAGTTTGGTGATCATATCCCGGAGGACATGGCTCAGTTCTACCTGGCTGAGATGGTGATGGCCATCGATTCAGTCCACAGACTCGGTTATGTGCACAGGTATCTGTACTAACAGCGACGGAAGTCGTTGCAGAAACGGAGGGTGCCGTCCAGTTTCGGGACCATCACGATAGGGCTGGCCCATGGGCTGTGTGATGGTTCTATCACCCCCAACTTCAGCATCTGTTGAATTTCGTCCTCAATAGCTCGCCGACGAGCCTCAGGGACGCGGTAGGGCCATTGCCTGACGACGACCCCTGGCAGCGTCCGGATGTCGTGTTGCAGGACGTTGGTCCGCCCGGGAAGAGAGGAGAACACATCAGAGAACTGACCGACCAGGTGCTGCAGCTCCCTCTTCTGGGCAGC